ATTTCGAGCAGTTCATGAAATTATGCACTGGTTCGCTGGGAAAACACGTGAGGAACGTGGCGGTCAGTATTCATAAACGCTCACTTTGTTAGAAAACTCAAATAAGAAATCCGCCAACTTTTTTCCTAGAGGTGATTCAGTATTCTGGGAAATAATCACTATTTTTCAGTCAATCGCCGGCAATATCGTCACCGCGTCACCGATTTCCGACCTGAATCCTATATGGATGGCAGCTGGCGCGAAGGTTACTATCTTAAAAATTTAGTGTTCTTGTAATCTACATATTTGAAACCTTCTGTGCGTCCACAACAAGATGCTGTGCTCAGTACCATCTCATCAGTTTTTGTTCAGGTCGTCCTCGAGTCAGATGAGCGCGGGGTGCGTTGTCCTGTGATCGATGAGCACTTTTTCTTGGCTTACAGAAAGGCTGATGTGGAAGCTGATGAAGTAGTGAAAGCCGTCATCGTTCCTCTCACCAAAGAGGTAGTTTAAGAAGATAGCTTCATTATTCAAATGATTCATCATACAATAGATATATCTTAGTTTCAATAACCGTGTTTACCTATTTTTTTCTCTGGTCTTCCACTGGGCTGCCCTGTGCCCTAAATTCACCCGAAACCTCTGTAGTGGCTAGTGGTTTCAACAGCGTCGAGCTCATACCCGCAATTCTCAACAAATGCCAACGTTTTATAATTCTATTGTAACCTACATTGAAAGTAGGCCGCAAGGGTATCGGGACTGTGAAAGCAAATCAAAATTTTTGGTAATCCCCTTATCCTACTGACATTTTTAGAAGTTGTGCAGATGTGTTGCTCAAAGCGTGGTACTTGTGCGTGCTTTCAAAGGGAGCGTAAACTGGCCTCGATTAATACCGTTGAAGGAATATTCCTCTCAGATACATTTGTTGGGCCGCAGATGCAGAGTCGTGGCACATGTGCGTCTCAAAAAACGTCACCAAAACGCTAAGCGCTTGAGATGGGATCCTCGCGCAATCCGTGCACGCCCACCGTAACCATATCTCATCTGTGTCGTGTCCCGTGGTCTGCTATGCTCTCTCGGCATCTGCGCTAACACCTCTTATCTCGCGATCTGTCAAGGGAATACGATACTTGCAGTACATGCACCTGTGGGAGCAAGTACATTTGCAAGCACAACAGAAAACGAAGATTTGGCTTTGTTAGCAGCATCAAAGGTGCTCTACAAGCAGCGCATCGCGCAACGCCTACATTCTTACCGTGATCGCCTTCGCTGTGCCCCACTACCCGCTGTGTTTTCCCAGCATCGCCCAATTCGAATATATCCCTCTCAGAGCGCCGTTTTCTACAGCTTTCTGTTGAAAGCGTCAATTCCTTCAAAGTTATTTGTTTGTTGGCGGAATGATGGTTTTCATGGGTTAGCACGTGCAAACGATCAGTTATCAGGGAGGTCTTTCAGGAAATGCTCAGCTTTCTCGAAGCGGTTGATTACGTATAAAAGTTGTTGATGGTCCTAGTTGTAGATATGACATAAATTGTTTATGGCGACACTTTTTTCGCCAATTTTACGCCAACACAAATGCAAAAAATTGTCACTGCAAGGATTGTACTACTTCATCGCCCCACTTTTAATATCCAGAGGGCGCTCATGAAAAATAAACCACAGTTTTGTGGTCCATGCACGTACCCCTATATTAACATGCAAAAAACCGTTTTGATGAAGCTGACATTACATGGAGGATTTTCCTCGTTAGTTGGGTGCTCGCTCCTCCATTGTAGTCAAGGGTCAAATATTTTAGGGTCCCATTTTTTGTAGAGGAATTTCATTGCTTTTTCCGCTAGTACTATTCAGCATCCCCCAATAAACCCAGCCCAATCTGAGCGTAATCCCTCGCTTCATGCGCAGAGCGAGATTGCTCCTTTCCGCGATTTGAAGGTTTCCTATCCTTCCTTTCAACTTGCGCTTCACATCCCATCTCCACTTCACATCCCAACTTTCATATTTGCATGGATGTACCATATCATATTCGGGAGGGACTTCCATGTTCTCTAGAAAGCAAAGTAATCCATAGTGGTATGAACTCTTTATGGGTAGCGCTAAGAGATGGTGGCCATAAAAAGGTATGAAAAGCAGGTATAAAAGCATTTTTCAAAGAGATTGTTGTCAAAGAGTGTGTAGTAAGATAGATGTTCTACAAAGAGTTTCTTAAGAACCAATTCTTCCGTGTGTACAAGCAAGCGCAGCGCCGCGAAGACGACATCGCCATCGTCACCGGAGCGTTTAATGCCGTCGTCGATCCGGACACGCTCATCGTTGAAAAAATTCGAATTTCATTCGGCGGAATGGCTCCCACGACCAAGCTCGCCCTCAAAACTATGGAGCAGTTGACTGGAATGTGAGTTACATACTTCTGTGTTCTACCGTTTTTTCATAGAAAACAATTTTACATTCCAGGGAATGGAGTCAACCGCTGCTTGATCTGGGTCTTGATCTTATCTCCAAGGAATTTGCATTACCTGCAGGAGTACCAGGTGGAATGGCTCGATATCGACAAGCTCTCACACTCAGCTTCTTCCTGAAATTCTTCCTTGAAGTCGCTGAGGCTTTGAATGTAAGCTTACTTTGAATGTCCCGATTCTGTAGGTGAGCGCAAGTTGAAGAAGCTTGATGAGAAATAAGGTCAGAACATTCGGAAGAGAAAGCATACAAGTTTTCGTGGTCAAGGTCTACGATCCTGATCCCTGGTCGTCGTCTATCGTTTGAGTCGACGTTGTCTGATCTTATTCCAAGGAAGTCTTTCTAGTTACCCTCCTAAATAACATGAGGTCAAGCAGATCCTGGGCTTTGCACTCACCCTACCTGTGCCGTTATTAAGGTGAAATATAATATCAACAACTAATCGCCACTTATAATGTCCTTACCAGTACATTAAGCCAGAAATGTGTAAGAGGCAGAATGTTTATATACAGGGGTGGCCAAAAAAAAGAGACACTTGCCCATGGCGCACATCATCGAACTTTTCGTCGCACAGGGAGCCGATGTTAATGAAAGTTTTACGGCGGAATATTCCTTAGGTGTTCCCCGTAAACAGAAGCAGGCCCTCCTTCACTGCCCCGCCGTCTTCAGAATATGACGTCATCTGCCGTCACCGTCGAGCTCAACGAGGCTTACCGTAATCGCTCCCGCCTGAAGCTGCTACATAATTTCTTCAATGGATTAACTGTTGAATAGCTTCCCAGAGACATTAGCTGTGACTGTGCAAAACCGCTTTTGACCAGCGTTTCAGAGACGTCGTAATCGTCTATGATATCTCAGCGACCTCGTTGAGCTCTGCGCAATGTTCGTTGTAGGAAAATCTTGATGAGTTGTCGGTGGTAGAAGCGCTTTGTGTAGGCATTGCTGATAGAATTATAAAGTGCTCATGTCATCACTCGGTTAGGGGTTAGTGAGATTTGGTCTCTGCAACGCGTTAATAATTCCGTTGAATGGGGAACGGAGCCAGTGACTCTCTTTTTTTCGGCACTTCTGTATTACAGTGTGGGCGGGAGGAGGACAGAAAATCTTGCAAAATTCTAGCACGCTTTCATTTACTTTTCTATAATATCACAGCTGAAAACTACAGTGATGGCAGATGGGCGAGAAGAAAGATGGAATAGGGCTATAGGGGTCAAAGACACGCAATAGGGGTCATAGGATCAGCTTGTGTGGTTCTAGCACAGAAAATCAACACGGAGCTGCGAAGCTATGCCATATATATTGAAAAGAGAGGAAAATTGAAGCCGAGAATCCGAAGACCTTAAATTAGTGGCAACTTATGGGTGTCACACCTAATAAGCGCATAGGGACTAATGGTGAAGCACGGACCAGAAAAGAGCGCCGAGACACTAGAAGGAAAAGGACAGTCAACGCGGAATTATTCATTCGGTATTTTTGTGAATGATAAAAAAAGGAAGTACAGCTTAACGGTTCGGGAAAACCCTAGCACGTTTTTGACGCACTTGGAAGCCGGAAAAAGGAATATTCACGATAACAACGAACGTCAAAGAAGCGGAGAATTTGCCTTGTTGGAAACACGCGACCTTCTGAGGATGTGGACCGACGCGATACGCGGACACGCCACAGTGGCGGACAGTCCCTTCTATGCACCATTGACTCACTTTAGCTCAACGGGAAAATGTGCCTTTGAGGGTATATATGTATACCCGACAGGAAATGGAGGAGAGGCTATTCGCTCGCTAGTTGCTTCTCGCGTCTGCATATGCGGCTAGACGAATTCTCAGATCACCATTTCCTTCAGGTTTCGAGTCAACCGTAATGCTGATCGTGAAAAGCTGGAAGAAACAGTTTTTGTTCGTAATTGCATGCATTATAAAAAGGGCGGAAGTGGTGTAGTGGCAAGTGGCACGCTTACCACGCGAGCGGTCCGGGATCAAATCCTGGGTCGTGAGTCGCCCGGGCCAACCAAGCCTTCCATCCCTCCGGGGTCGGTTAATTGGTACCAGACTTGTCTGGGAGGATAAAAACACTGACTTGTACATCGGCTGGCCCCCGCAAGTCATTGTATAGGCCACATCGCATTCAAACGCCACTACGAATGTACAAATGGAAGTGCGCATCCCAAAAAGGGATTGATCAACGGCAAATGCTTTATCCTTTTTTTATAATTGCATGTAGTAAGCAGGTGGACCGCATAAAATTTCGCAATTTACAAATTCCGTGATACAGCTAGTTGCGGTAATCCTCCGCTACCATGAGCTCTTCAGGTCACAAACATTGACGACAGGCACGAGCTTACAAGTATTGGCCAGGACATACCAGAAGGACTTATTGCTACTCAACTATACCAGGTATACCATTTTTCTCATTACACCAACTTGATCAATGAATGCTCGAACTTTTTAAGGAAGTGCCAGCCGATCAGCCGGCGCACGATCCTGTTGGCCGAGCGATTCCACATGCATCCGGTATGAAGCATGTCACTGGTGAAGCGGTCTACTGTGATGACATCCAAGTGGCCAGTGGGTTCCCTTTTGCGGCCTAAATTGTTGTGGGTTAAGAAACTCATATTGGGCTACCGGTTCTATACAAATATTGCAGACTGTCTTCACATGGCTTTTGTGATGTCGCCGATTGCCTGTGGTACGCTTGAGTGTGTGGATGTCTCAAAAGCGGTGGCTATGGACGGGGTGGTCGGTTACATCGATGCCGATGACGTGCTCGAAGGCATCAAACTTGGCCATCACAGCGACACGCCGGTATTCGCGAAGGACAAAGTGAGTTACCAAGCACAGGGGGTCTTACCCAACCAGAACTGCTGAGTAATAGTTGAATCTACAAATTGCCCTTAACCATTCCAGTTGACCTACCACGGCCAGCCCATCGCGGCCATCATCGCCCGCGATCATGAAACTGCTCGACGTGCGGCTAACGCCGTTAAACTTGAATATATCAGAGAGTCTCCTCTCATTTCTATCGAGGTATATTGGTGAGACGAGTTGGTGAGGCGACGAACCTTAGTAGTCCTCTCATCCGAACAGTTCCATTAGCTTATTGAGGCTCTTTGAAGGATGCCGTCGAAGCGGACTCGTACCTCATGCGTCCTCTTACCATCCATTCGTCATTGCTGGAGAATGAAACAGTGGTGCAGAATGACTGGAGCAATTATGATCACGTTATCGAAGGAGAGGTCAAGATAGGTGGACAAGTAGGTTTTTTTGTGTTGTTGCTGGGAATGAATGTCAGGTTCTCCTGAAGATAAGAACTATTATTTTGGCACAACTTCATAATTTGTCTGTGAGGTACTCTAGAATGACTAAATTCGGTCCGGGAAGGGTGAGCCCTCCCTCTTTCCCCCTCTTTCACCTTCTCGTTGTAGTTCTCAGTTCTTCGAAAAAAACATAGCAAAAGACCCAACAAAAGAAAAAAGGAGCGGATCATAATGTAATTCAAGCTCGGAGTCGACTCACGCGAGTGCTTTGCCCTGCCCAGCTTCGCCAGCTTTGCAGTGAAATCTGTGCATCCTTTCTA